GCTATAGTCCCACATACCATGAATGATTGTAGAAATTTGCATGAGGAAAACTGAGCTAGAAATGAGCATCTGTAAGTGGCAGCTGCTTTGAGAAATGTGTAAGATAAGGCTCTTACTGAGTTTACAGATAAGCTAGGGAAAGATGTAATGACATGACTAAAATCCCAGGATGATTGGTTGAGGGCTCAACTGAGTGGCACAGACAGTTGCTGTCAGAGTAAAGGTGGTGATAATAGGAGTTGTAGATGGTTATGAAGGTTTCACAGAGAATGTTGAAATAGAGTAGGAATGTGATGGGCAGAGTGTTGTGGGCAGTGGGAAGAGTTGGCAGGGAAAGTAAAGTGTTTTAGGTACATGAGAAAAGGCACAGAGTCAGGACTGAGGGATGGCACAGAATTAAAGACTCCCCTGGATACTAGTGGCTTATCCACTTGCAGAGATGGAGACAGAATTGGGCCAGGTTGTGTTAGAGAAGTTTGTACTTTATCCCAGAGGTAATAATGAGGTAATCTGAAAGAGATGATTTGGTAAGAGTAGGCAAATAATTTTGCAGATTTTGAGTTGCTTCTGCATTAAAAAAAAAAGTTCTACTTGTTTTCCTCAATTACATAACTCATAAGATAGAGAAAATTTGTAAGCTGCAGAAAAAAGTGAGAAAAATATTTTTATTAATGAATTTTTGTGTGGATTTCAGAATTCTTTTTCTGTTGAGACAGTTTCAAAATGGTATATATTGTCCTTAAGAACCTGCAATACCTTATACCTCTGTTTCTACCCTAGTTGTCCGTTTACTTGCCTGCTTCCCTTGCTAGACCTTGCTTAAGGTCCATAAGTGAGAACCAGGATGTTTTGTGTATCTCTGCATCCCAGGCTCCCAGCATGGCTAGGATGTATTGATGTCCATAGAGTTTGTGGAATTCGTGAGTGGTCTTTAAGCTCACAGGGTCTACTTTTGTTTTTTTTTTGTTTTTTTTTTTTAACAATTTTATTTATTTATTTGAGAGAGAGCTAGAGCATGAGCAGGGAGGGGAGAGGGAGAAGCAGGCTCCCGCTGAACAGGGAGCCCCACTTGGGCTCAGTCCCATGACCCCAGGATCATGACCCAAGCCAAAGACAGACGCTTAACTGACTGAGCCACCCAGGCGCCCTGCATCAGGTCTACTTAAGGGAAGAAAGGGAGAGTCAGTGCAAGATTTCTGATAGGCACTGTGGATATAGATAGGGAGGAGAACTAAACAGAAATGAGTGGGAGAGCTGGCAGGCAGCACAGAGCTGTATGGATGGATGTAGATGTGCCAGAAAAATTATGAAGTTTGCCTTGAAGTGGACTAGCCCAGTCATTCTCAACATCACCAGGAAACTTGCTAGAAATGCAAAGTCTTGGCTCCCATTCCAGGCTTACTAATTCAGAAACCCTGGAACTGAGACACTGCAGTCTAAGAAATCCAAGTGATCATGATAAATGCTCAAGTTTTCTGAGAAAGACTCTACAACGCCGACACGAAGACTGCAGCATAGAAATACTGAAAGCCCAAAGATGTGCTTGATGCCAGTGAACAAAACCAATGAGGGGCTGTGCTGGCTGGAGCAGGAAAATTATGACAGGAAGGTGATGTTGTTACAAAGAAAGCTGACTGTGTTGTAAGTGGACAGGACCTACAGCTCTTGCTTAGTTCACTGCCTTCCTGACCTTAACATTTAAGTAGATTAAGTCAATTTAAAGATTAGTCCTACAAGAGGGACCCCACCCTCAAAATCTCCACACAACTGCCTACTGAGCTCTAGCTATCTCATAGGAGCCTCAGATCTCTAACACCACTGTGGTTATTACCTCTCCCTTCAAACCTGTATCCCTGCATGTGTTTCCTATTTCAGAGAATCGGACTACCATCCACTCAATTACTCAAGTCAGTTATTCTTGGCTTATTTCTCATTAAATTGTGTCACTTCTGCCTCATAGCTTTAAAGATACCCATTTTTCTCCATCCCTACTGATACCCTTATAATTTAGACCATTGGGACTTTCTCATTGATTACTTTCCATAATCACGTAACAGTCATCATAACTGGCCTCTCTGCCTCGAATCTTTTCTTGAATTCATTCTGTGAATGTGGCCAGAACAAGCTGTCTAAAATGCAAATTTGATTAGTTCTTTTCTTAAACTGTCCAGTGGTTTCCCATTAACCTCTTGATAAAGTACAGCCTCCTCAACTTGTCCTTTACTGTTGGTCTCCTGCCTTCCTTTCCAGCCTTTTGTCCTTACGCCTGCAGTCCTTGTCGCCTGCTCTCCCTCTGCCTGGCATAGCATTCTTACTACCTTTACCAGGCTAACACTGCTAATCTTTTGGGTAGCTGCTTAGATATTACCTCTCTATGAAGCCTTCTCTGACCTTCTGAGATCTAGTATCAAAAATAATGCCCTGAATTTCCCCTTGCATGTCACTCATTACACCTTATTGTAATTGCCTGTTTATTTTATATAGCACATTCTTACCCACCCCCACCTTACTATATTGCGGTCTCCACAAAGGGATGAGATTGTGTCAGTTTTACTCCTACATCATTAACTGGTAAACAGTAGATGTACAGCAAACATGTTGAAATAGGTAATAATCGACAGTCCGGCAGTAATTTGAGATAGTTTTAAAAGCTACTGGGTAGAAATTTGTATTTTCTATCTTTCCCCTTCCCCTGACTTTATCGTGTTCATCTGGTCTGTGTAGCATGCATTATGCGTACTGGGCACTGTGCTGGTTGTTGCTAAGTTCCAACTGTGACAAGACTCAAATAATATTTGCAGCAGGATTTATCCTCTAGTGAAAGAAATAGACTTTAAAAAATAGCACGTGTATAGTACACAAAGGCCAAGAAAGTGGGAGAATGGAGTGCTAAGAGAACAACGAGAAGAACCCAGTTTGGAAAGTCAGGAGGAAGTGATACCTAAACCACTACTTAAAAATTTGCTACTTAAAAACCGAAAACAGAGTTTTTCAAGTAAAGAACAGGAGTGTACTGCTCCAGATGGAGGGAACAGACCATAAACGTTCACTAGGATAAAAGAGAAGGGGGCACCTTATGACCAACAGATTAGGAAGGAAACCAAGCTGGGGTAGTTTGGGAGGCTCGTATGTTTGAAACGACTGCAATGTGGAAAATGCACTGGAGAAGGCAATAGGCACCATAGACTAATTAGTTGTAATGCAATGGAGAGATAAGAGCAGATAGAATTTAGGGAAAAACTTGCAGAGGATAGAGTAGTGAATGGATTAGAAAAATATTTGGGGCAAAGAGCAGAACCTTGGGGATTGATGAGATTTGTAGCAGGAAGAAAGGGTACTCGGTCCTAAATGTCCTTCTTCTTTTCCTGTGGCTCCTGGCTACAAGGCCAGGATTTCACAGAACTTGCCACAAAAATCCCCCCTGCAATAGCTCTAAGCTGTGAAATTTTGAGGGAACTGCAGGAAGGGGAAAAAGATGTGATCACCCTAAAAGGCAGATGACCTGTATGGAAGAGAAGCATTCCTGTCAAATACCTAGACTGAGAGGATAGCAGCAGTAAAAATCTATTATTCAATAGGTACTTTTTTACCTATATGGGAACTTGTTAAGCTTGTAGTCTTCTGCTACTAAGTCATGTAGGATCCATGGGTAATTTAAAAACATCCCTCTGCAAAACCTCTTTAATTGTCAAAGACATTCCCAGTTTCAAGAGGTACAACTTTATTTTAGGATGTACCTTTCAGTTCTTTAATGTCCAACAAATTATGTTTAATATCTTTTTAGTAAATATCATAAATAGAATATGAAAGGACTCAAGGTCATTTTATCTCTGGCCCTCAGTTTTGTAAGTGAAAAAAACAAAGCAGAGATTAGATGAAGTGACTTGTCCAGGAACTTAAGAGGGACACCTGCCTCCCTCTGTAACTTGGTGTTCTATTAGTGCACTGGGTCTTTTGAAGGCCCAGAGATCCTGCATGACCAAGATCAAGCTCCATCTAGTCAGGGCCTATTTTAGAGACTAAGTTTAAACAGATTTCTTGTCATAGTTTGGATTTGCCAGTTTTTTAATAATAAGTAAAATATTTTAACTGGTCTGTACACTCCTTGATGACAGCAGCCACTGAGTGTTTTAATCACCATGGCTTGTACATAATAGGCATTTAATAAGTGTGTTTTGAATGAGTCAGTCATACCTAGCTAACCACTAATCAGCTTTTTCTATTTCATTTTAAAAGATTTTTGTCCCCTTACCACCTTTATGATGATTCCTAAGATATTTATGAAAGTCTTTGCATATATTTTTATATCATAGTTTTATTAGAAAACTGTATGTGTATCTTCTCAATATCTTAACAGCATTTCTACATTCATGTTGCTTTGTGCTAATATTTCTTTTCTGCAATAGTATGATAGCATAGTAAACACTACTTAATTTTTTCTCCTAACTTTATGGATATAAAACCTATTTCAGAAAGATTAAATGACTTGTTAAAATATATATACCTTTGGAGTCCGTAGAAGTGCTGGCAATTAACCTGAGGTCTTAACTTACCATCCGCTGGAATGTTCCATAGAGTTCACCGTATTTATTAAGTTCATGTGTTTCTCCATTAGTCATGCTATTATTTAGCTTCATTCCTGTTAGCATCCGGATTTTATGATCTCCCTGCTAAAATAACCAAGGAGGATTACTTGGAGATAATTTGTCTGAAGAGGGTACAACTTGCTACAACCTGTTATTCCTTTGATGAGGAGGGCCAACATAAATAAATAAATAAATAAATAAATAACAAAGAAAAGAAAGGAGGGAGGGAGGAGAGAGAGGAGAAGGAAAAGGTTCCATGTAGGAGGTGATTGTTCGATGCTATTTGACACCTCCTGCCCGCTCTGTCTTCTGTGTGCCCTGGTCAGTTGTGTATCACAGTTTTAGACCCATAAGTTGAGAAGATGGTACAAGCTTACAGATGTTTGATGTTCCCTAATTGTACTTTATCCCCAGAGATCTTCAGAGAAGACATGGCTTCCAGAGAAGAGAACACAAAGAGGACAGACAGAGTGCTAAGAATAAGTCAGTTGGATGCTCTTGAACTCAACAAGGCCCTGGAGCAGCTGGTTTGGGCCCAGTTTACTCAGTGCTTTCACGGGTTTAAGCCAGGACTGTTAGCGCACTTTGAACCAGAGGTGAAAGCGCTCCTGTGGCTTTTCTTGTGGCGATTCACCATCTACTCTAAAAATGCCACCGTGGGACAGTCCGTTTTGAATATTCAGTACAAAAACGATTTTTCCCCGAAGCTGAGGTACCAGCCGCCGAGTAAGAATCAGAAGCTGTGGTATGCTGTGTGTACGATTGGAGGGACGTGGCTAGAAGAGCGCTGCTATGACCTATTTCGAAACCGTCACTTGGCGTCGTTTGGGAAAGCCAGGCAGTGTGTGAACATCATGGTTGGACTTCTGAAATTAGGCGGGCTGATTAATTTCCTGATTTTCCTTCAGAGGGGCAAGTTTGCAACTTTGACAGAACGTCTCCTAGGCATTCGTTCTGTATTTTGCAAGCCCCAAAACGTACGTGAGCTTGGCTTTGAGTATATGAATAGGGAACTTCTCTGGCATGGTTTTGCAGAGTTTCTGATTTTTCTCCTACCACTTATCAATATCCAGAAGTTGAAAGCTAAGTTATCTTCATGGTGTATTCCTCTTACCGGTGCTCCTACCAGTGACAATACACTAGCCACAAGCGGCAAACAGTGTTCTCTGTGTGGAGAGTGGCCCACCATGCCTCACACCATAGGATGTGAGCATATCTTCTGCTACTACTGTGTTAAGAGTAGTTTCTTATTTGACATGTACTTTACTTGCCCTAAGTGTGGCACAGAGGTACAGAGTCTGCAGCCACTGAAATCAGGAATCGAGATGTCAGAAGTGAATGCTCTTTAGAAACTAAGATTGTTTCCTCTGAGGAAAACTGCATTATGTTCAAATCCTTAATACTAATCATCCTGAGCGTTCTGTTCAGGTGTCTTTTATGAGGGGATGTGCTGCTCAGCCACCGTCTTCTGTTCCTTTCCAAATATGACTAAACTCTAATCATTAGGAAGCACGTGATTCTGAATCTAGTATGTAAACAATAATGTGTTATTTTTCTTTAAATCGTTGCATTCAATTTTTAATGTTGAGACTAATGGACAGTTGTTATCGGACTACCAAAAATGACCTTTCATTTTGCTACATCCTAGAAAGAGGTTAGATTCTAAAGCGATTTTGGAGACCCTGGGATGAATGTGTATTTAATTGCAGAGATGGCATTATAGCATCAGTCCGACAGTGATAAGGCCCTCCTGTTTTGAGCCTTAACATCTAGCTCACCCATTGTAATTTTAAGCTTTTCCCTAAAACCTGTTTTCGAGGGGTTCGGTTGGCTTCATCCTCGGGCAACATGATGGCCACCAGAAGCTCCACACTGACATTCCACCAGCTTCCTGATCCTGCTGGAATGAGAGGTTCTTACATAATAGCTCCAGCGAAGTCCAGGAGCTCACTGTCATTGGTCTGCTTGTGATTACGCATTTGTGAACCAGGACAGAAAAGTTCTACTCTGATTAATAGCTGTGTACCACGTGGACCCATAGTAGGAGAGCAGACAGTTCACCACAGGAAACCCGGGTGCCATTATAATAGTGGGTGTTTGGCAGCTCAAAACAATAGATCCTTACTAGACTCTACATCTGCCTTTTTTATATCAAAAGTCCATATGCAGTCTTTAATTTTACCCATGATCTGAGGTGATAAGGAGATAGGTAACTGAATGGTTGACTTAGATTGCAGATTTAAAAGGATTAAATAAATAAACATTGTGTTATGACAACAGTTTTTTTGTAGTGTTATTTTGACAAAGTGCATTCTGAGTAAATGCCCATATTATAATTTTAACGTGAAAATAGTACTTTACGTATATGCCATCTAATAGAGATATCAACATTATGAGTGTTTTCAGTTTTTCCACAGACACTAATGACACTTAGTACAATATTATATTTTTAATTTTTTCAATTTTTATTTAACACCTACTCCCTCGCTAAGTGATTTACCTGCGGGTCAGGAAGTACGACTGTTCCACGCATCACTGGATAACCAGAACCTACCTTTCTCCGCACCAGTGTACCAATAGAGACATTTTGTTAGTTGAACAGCTAAACCTGATATGAGAGATTGGGTTCTTTAAAAAAAAAATATATATATTTATTCATGAGAGACACACAGAGGCAGAGACATAGAAGGAGAAGCTGGCCACTGCAGGGAGCCTGATGCAGGACTCTATCCCAGGACTCGGAGATCATGACCTGAGCCGAAGGCCATTGCTAAACCACTGAGCCACCCAGGTACCCCAGAAATTGGGTTCTATAAAAATAAATGTTGCAAGGGACTTGAAGCACTTTGGCATGGATTGGGGCAGACTGGTCAGCCCCTTTTACCCACACCTCTCAGTTACTGGCCACGAGCTGCCCTGGGAAGGACATGACCTGAAACATGATGACTCTGCAGCCGACGCAGACCCCAGAGGAGCGGACTACCACAGGCAACCTGCTGACCCCACTCCCCCAGCTGAGCAACACATCCATCCCTGGAGGAGCTCGGTGACCAGCCTAGTGTTAACCACATCTAATACTGCGTCTCCATTGTTTTTTTTTTTTTTTCCATGGTTTTCCATTTTTGTTTTTCTTTGCTTGTAAGCATTCAGACAACGCAGTAATGGCAGGTGGTGTTCAACTTAAAAACATTTGGTTTATGACTGACTTGCGTACTTAAGTGCTGCCTCAGGGAACTCCAACTCACTGCAGAGACCTAGGCCTCCTGGCCAAGTTGCTCTGATAGTGCCAGACCCCATTCTGTCCCTGCCTCCCTGTGCACTGCCAGGAGATTTGCTCTAACACTGGTGCTTCTGTTCCTACTCCCCAGGGGCCTCAGGGCTCAAGGTTCAGTATAACTGGGTCATATTTAGCTACATGCTACATTTCTGCTTTAGCCTCAAGAACCTGTCCCCTATGAGCATCTCCCCATGGGAAAATAAAACTTTTATACTAACATTGCTTTTTCTCACCCATGTAACTTGTTCTGGAATCAGACCTGCTACTTGTGTCTGTAACATACCCAATTGCTTTAGTGATCATATCTAAAACATACCAGTCAAAGCTAACCCAAGGCACATCCTGCTCCCTTGCTCCCAAGACTCTTTGCCTCAGAACTCAGTAGGTTTTGAATAAGTTTAACACCTCCAAGATTCAATTCGATCAACCTATGAAATGAACATTCAGTAATATCTACCTCTTAGGACTGTAATGGGAATTAAATAACACTATTCTTTCAAAAATTACTTATTAAGCCCCTACAGGCATTTGTCCATTTGCAGAGATGTACTCAAAAATAAAAACCCCTGCTCTCATAGAGTTTATATTCATGGAGGAATAATAGATAATAAACACATGTGTAAGATAATTTCAGATGTTAGAAGTACTCTGAAGAAAAAAAGAAAACAAGCCGAGGGAATAGAGTGACAAGGGATGCTGTTTAAACTGAATATTCTTGGAAAGGCATCTCTGAGTAGTTGAAGTTTGGAAAGAGGCCTGAATGAGCTGACGGGAAAAGCCAAGCAGAGGAGAGGTGCCAGGAGAAGGAAATGGCAGGTGCCCAAGCTCTGAGGAACCCAGTATCTGATTGAGGAACAGGAAGAAATAGAGTACAAGTAAAAGAGGAAATGAGGTGAGTGAGGTGAGGGGGCCCCGGGTCAAGCCAGGAAGGCCATGGCGAAAAAAATATCTTCATTTATCCCAAATATGAGGAAGAAGTTACAAGTTCATATTTCTAAAGGATTCCCTGTGATTAATGTGGAGAGGTAAGCCCGAGTGAAAGCCCGAAAACCTAGTCAAAGGCAATTTGGTATGAGTGATGATTGTTATTATTTCTATTAGATTTGTGGTACATTAACAGTGTCACTATCTGAAATGGTGAGGAACCTGGAAGTAAACAAAGCCATAGGAAACCAAAAAAAAATTTCATAGGTTCCACACATCAAAACTCTACTCAGGGTATTTCCTTGAGTCTCCATTTAGAAGCTGCTTTATTTTGAATAGAATTCTATCGAACTTTCAACAACAGACTGAAAATAACAAGTAAGAAGGAGAGAAAAATCTGATGAAAACAGCATGTATACAGTTTTATAAATAATAAAAAAACCTAGTATCAATGAAAAAAAAACTATAATCTGGTGATCACAGGGACACACAAGTTCTATGGACCAAATGAGTAATTATAATAGTTTAAAAAAATGACCTTGGATCATCAATGAAGGGTACCTTATACTCTGCATAATTTGGTTAAGAAAGCAGGAACATTAGTATTGTTATACTTGAGAAAGCCTTAATATGTTGGCACTTACAGGCAAAAACTTGATTCACTTAGAAGATTTGCTTTTAACAAAAAGCTAGTTTTCCTAATAATACTTAATACGTCAAGTGTTAACCAAATTAAGAAATGGTATTTGCAGCAACAGAACAATTCCAAACACACTTTTTAGCCAAACCAATTGGCCGTATTATCTATGGAACTGAAGTTCTATGGTGGTTCTCTCCAGCTAAAACTAGTATATAGAATACATTTATACTCACCACAAGTAAGTTGACAAGTATTTTCACTATATGTCTGAGGTTTTTATTCCTTCAAAGAGTATGTAAATCATGAAACAAGACAGACTATGCCTTACTCTTCCCAAGTAGTCACTTACTAAGTCTTGATATTTTCAAGAAAAAGTTATGGTTTTAAAATATTTTTCTTAAAAGTAAGCATCGTTATCATGTTGTCCAATGGCCTTCATTGAACACTACCTTGAGTTGTTTTCTGCTAGTTAGAAAAATTCCACCAAGATTAATCCAGGTCACTCCTGAGGCCAGAAAAATCCAAAGTATGGTATTCAATAGGTAGTTCACTTTCCTTCTCTTTAGCAGTAGGGTAACTTGTTTTCACTAACAGATTCAGCTCATCCTGTGCTGAAATCCTAGAGCCAATAAAACTTAAATCTACTTAGTTAAGTAAAGCTTATTTTAAAATCAGATAGGTGTGGACATGTTTATATCCAATGACCTCAGGAATTTATCTCAAGGAAATGATAAGAATTTGGAAACAGATTTATTGAAATGATTTTCACAATAGCACTATTCACAAGATATTAAATGGCACAAACACTCAGAAATAGGGAAATAAATAAAACAGTATAGCTATTTAACTCAATGTCATATAAATACCATGAAAAAAATTGTGCAAAAAAATATATAAATTGGGCAGCCCGGGTGGCTCAGCAGTGCTGCCTTCAGCCCAGGGCGTGATCCTGGAGACCCGGGATCGAGTCCCTTGTCAGGCTCCCTACATGGAGCCTGCTTCTCCTTCTGCCTGTGTCTCTGCCTCTGTCTCTCTCTGTGTCTCTCATGAATAAATAAATAAAATCTTTAATTTAATAAAAAAGGTTAAAGGAGAAAAAATTAAAATATATATATATATAAATAATTTCAATTACTTGAGAAAGTGCTCACAATATAGTATTAACAAGAAAGAAGTTGGATTGGATATTCAGTACCATATGATCTCAGCAGGTGCATATATATCTTGAAATGAGACAAATAGGCACTTAGCATGAGATAAGTAGACCCATACATATATTATAATAAATATTCTAATAAATAAAAATTCAGCTATTCAACTTTAGTCTTCTTCTTTACCTTTTTCTGTATTTCCCAAATTCTCTACATTGAGCACGTAATACTTCTTGATTATACCAAAACCAGTTATTTCTTTAAAATCTTGTGGGCAATTTTGTTTCAGTTCATTTCAAAGGCAAAACATCTGCATAACTAGTAAATAAGTTAAAAATGTAAATATAGGAGATATAAGATCCTAAAAAACCCTAGAGTATCCATTTTTTGCATGACAATAAAATCCTACCTTTCTGGCCAACCACGACGGTCAAAAGAGTGAATTATTTTACACATTTTAAATTAAATAGTAAATTTGATTCCATATAATACATACATTTTTAAACCACTTAGAAGTATGTAGGCAACAAAAAGGTAGAAAGTGCCCACTCCCTTTTCCAAAAGTATTTGATGTTTATAAATGTATGGTATTTTTAAATAAGTGTAGTTTACTTACTTTAAAATATCTAGAACCCTTACACCAGATCAAAACAATGGATATGAATATTTTATATTGTCAGTTGGCCTAAGCCTATAAGATGCCTGTATATCTGCAACTAAGAATCAAGACCCAGGATCTAACCCAGGATTCTGTATTCCTTCCAGACGTGGACATAAAAATACTGATATTTCTGAGTATTTTTATGGTTTGGTTACTAGTAAGACATATTACAAACTTGAACTTCAGCTGAGACTTTATCTACGCAGTCAAAATTCTGAATAAGTGGGACCAGAGACTTTACTGTTCTGAGAGGTGTCCAGATGGTTCCCTAGGAATCATATCTCACTAAGCATTCAGGAAATAGTATTCGCTCCTAATTAGCCTCTATTAAATCCACATCAAATTGTGAAAGCGCCTTTTTAGTCAACAAAAATTATGAAATACTACAGTACAGTCAATTGCTTTAAAATAGCTTTGCAATTTCACAAAGAGAAAATACATTCTTTGAAAGCAAGCACCCCCCCTATCCAATATTACATGTGATATTTCTTAATGCCCCTTCTCAAGCCTACTAGAATATTCCTCAGTTTCAACTAGATAACTCTTTTTTTCTTAAACAGCAAAATAGACTGAGCTCAATGAAGACAGAAGTCTCTCTCTCTCTCTCTCTCTCTCTCTCTCTCTCT